TGTGTGGCCTATCTGAGAGGTCACTGTGTGGCCTATCTGAGAGGTCATGGTGTGGTCCATCTGAGAGGTCATGATGTGGCCTATCTGAGAGGTCATGGTGTGGTTCATCTGAGAGGTCATGATGTGGCCCACCTGAGAGGTCAGGATGTGGCCTATCTGAGAGGTCATGGTGTTGCCTATCTGAGAGATCATGGTGTGGTCTATCTGAGAGGTCATGGTGTGGCCTATCTGAGAGGTCAGGATGTGGTCTATCTGAGAGGTCGTGGTGTGGTCTATCTGAGAGGTCATGGTGTGGTCTACCTGAGATGTCATGATGTGGTCTATCTGTATGGTTATCAGTTCTACCTGAGTAGACATGAGATCTATCTGAGTGAATAGGAGCTCTCCTGAATCGGCTATGTGATCTTCTGGAATAGAGGCCATGAGATCTGCTAATGTGGCGGTCATGAGATCGGGAACGGCCATGAAATCTTCTGAAGGAAAATTGGTTTCTTTCTGGTTGTAGCTGTCTCTCTTCTTGTTGGTTTCTATTCCTCCTTGTTCGATTGTGTCTGTTGACTTGTCTCATCTGCAAAGGATCCCAGTTATATAATATAAATAAGACAGTCTGATTTGATTAACTCATGAGTATATTTTTCAAAATCCTTCCTTCCCTTATTCCATTCCTCCCCTCCCTTCCTTGTTTTGATATGTTTTCATTATATTGTTTAGATTAGTCTGAAACTCGTGATTCTCATGAATGTTGGAATTATAGGCTTGTGCCACCATATCAGGTTCCCAAGACCGTTTTTATCAGTGATTTTCTTCTAGAATGACACTATACCTACTTTTTATGTCCTAGTTTATAGAACTAATCTATAGAAAACCTGATGTACCACAAGGACAATTATATGTATGTAACATAAAAATATGAAAAATTAGCTGTCTTATATATTTTACCAATCAAACAATTGAACTGTGTGACTTGCTAATTGGGGAGAGAAAGAGATATTTGGGGGATGGGGTTTGCAGAATTTTATGATAGCCAGTAACTCAATACTTATTGTTTAGTCTGAAATTTGTGATTCTCATGAATGTTGGAATTACAGGCTTGTGCCAATTGTGATCTGGAACTTCTAACTCCTCCTTTAACCTCTCCAATGCTAGGATTAAAGACACTTGCCACTACAAATGGTATTATATGATAATGAGGATTGAATCCAGGGCTTCATGCATGCTAGCCAAGTACTCTACCAACTGAGCTACATCTACATTTAAATAATACTTTATAACACAACTCCTTAAGATAAAAAAAAACATTCCAAATTAGTCTATTGACTATTTCCCTGCTCAGTGGTCATTAAATATTTTATAATTAAATACAAACACTTAATTCTAAGGAGAAAAACTAAGTGAGTGGAAAAGGAATGCTATAAAGGTAGCAAAGAGTTGGCTTGGTACAATTTAAATAAATGGATCTGGCAATAACTTAGCTTTATTTTCATCCTTTTTAACTCTTAAACCAAAAAGGCAGTATAGTGAATCCCTCAAAAGGAAACAGTAAAAACTTTGGCAAATGTCTATGATATCCATAAGAGTAAATGAATAGCATAATAGGACAGTGCTAAGAAAGCTAGCTTTAAACTAGTATATACCCCTATATCTGGCACTAACATGTCCTGATATAACACTGCTAAATGGTCAAAATAACTGATACTAGGAGGATGGTACTAGCATAAAGAATATTATACATATACAACTTGAATAAAATTATAAAATAATCATATTTATGTAAGGAATATTTTCTGGGCCGGGATTGTAGCTCAGTTGTCTAGTGCATACTCAGCATGAGCAGGGCTGTGGTTCCCATAAGAAATTATTTACATCAAATTAGGTACTATAAGATTCAAAAACTTAAGGAAAGAAATATTGATTTTCTTTTAATAGTGAAAACTTTTGCATGTGTATTTGTTCATGATATGTGTGTGGGTCTATATGCCATGGTGTGCATGCAGAAGTTAGAAGCCAACTTTGCATGAACCTACTTTTTCCATCCACTTTCTACAAGGATCCCAGAGATCTCACTGAATTGGCTAGGCTTGTATGGCAAGAACTTTTACCATTTTCAAACCTATCAAAAATTTTTATATAGTCAGGGTATAATAGCTAATGCCTGTAATTCCAGCAATTGTCTCAGTGCTACCAGAACATGGTTTGCATGCACTGACCACTATGCCCACTTTCGTTTTCTTTACTTTTTCCAATGATTTCTGGTATGAAATTCTTGAATGGTTCAAAACTATTTGCAATGGACAGATGATTTCAATTTCAATATACTTTACAATATCTTTAGTTGGGTGGATCTTGGTCTACAGCAAAAGGAAACTCATGTTTTTCTTTCTAAACTTTATCAATTTTACCCAAAACCTTTGGCTGGGGATGCAGTTAAATTGGTAGAGTCCTTGTCTATCATACATATCTCCCTGGGCTGGAGCTTCTGCACTCCATAAAAATAGGGATAGTGGTACAGTGTCTGCAATTCCAGCAGATGGAAAGGAGAGAATCTGGAGTTAATGTCATCTTTACATAGGAAGTATACGTCCAGCCTGGCCTCCATGAGACACCATTTCAAACAAACAAAGACAAAAATCAAGAGACCCGTTAAGGAGCCCAATATGTTGCTCAGTGGTAGAACACTTATATAGCATGTGTAAAGCCCTGGATCCAATCCATGAAAATAAACAAACAAAACAAAGAAAGAAAAACCTAAACCTAAACCTAAACCTAAACCTAAACCTAAACCTAAACCTAAACCTAAACCAAACCAAAAGCAGCAACACAAAACTCATTCTACAAGATCTAGACCACTTCCCATCAAACTTTCTCAATTCTTCCAACCAGAAGGAAGTATTTCATTTCTGCAACAAAAAATGGAGATTGTACTTAAAATTGTAACCTGTTCCTTGACAAAATATGTTCCCAGAATCGCCAGTGTGTGTGTGTGTGAGAGAGAGTGTGAGTGTGAGTGTGTGTGTGTGTGTGAGAGAGAGAGAGAGAGAGAGAGAGAGAGAGAGAGAGAGGGAGAGAGAGGGAGAGAGAGGGAGAGAGAGAGGCTTATGAGCTTCAAGGAGGTCGAGTGGGGGTGTCATCAGGTATCCTGCTCTTACTTTCCAAATTATTCCCTTGAGATAGGGTCTCTTACAGTACTTGGAGCTATGTTACAGCTAGTCAGATCCTATATCCACTCCCACAACACTGGGACTCCAGATGCACCCTTGACCAAGCTTTACTTTTTGTGTGGGTTCCAGGTCCTCATTCTTCCTTTGCAAGTGCTCTTACCCAGCAAGCAATTTTCCTGTTCAACCACTGTTTATTACTAAATGCCGATATAACAGCTTAAGAGTAACTAGTTCATATTGTTAAGCTGAACTACTGATACCTTTCAAATTCTTGTCCCATGGCCCATTTACCTAAGCAAGTTCATATATAAAAGGCAGTACAATTATTTTCCCTGGAGGTTTCCAGAGTGTGTTTCATATTCTATTTCATTTAATTTCATTTTTTTCATTTTTTATTTATGTGTATATGCGTGTGTGTGATTGTGTGAGTTTAGGTCACATGCGTGTGGGTACTCACAGAAGTCAGAGGAGGGGTTAAAGCCTTTGTACCTGCAGTTACAGGACATTGTGAGCTACCTGATGTGGGTGCTGAGAACTGAACTTGGGTCATCTGGAAGAGCAGCAGGGGTTCTTAACCACTAAGATAGCTCTCTAGTCCTGATTTCTGTTTCATACAGTTAATTTTTAAGGGTAGTAAACTATACATTATAGCTAAAGATAAAAAGAAATATGTGAGGACAAAATGAGAATAATTATTTACAATGAATGATAATCACCAACTATTTACTTTTTGCATTTTATAAATTCAAAATTCCTGATATTAAAATAAAAAATGTTTATTGAAATAGTTGTAGGGGCCTGCCTCCCTGTTGCCATACCCCATGCCTACCCCATGATGATCATGGACTCTAACCCTCTCAAACCATAGACTCCAGTAAACTCTTTTATAAACTGCCTTGATCATGTTTGTTAGATAGAAAAGTAATGATGATAACTAGAATACAACACATACTTTTAGTTTCAGTACTCTGGAAGATTGAGGCAGGAGAAGCATCATAAGTTCTTTGCCAGCCTAGGCTACATAGTAAATAATATACTACCTTGTTCTATATAGCTTGCAAGACCTTGTATCCAAACAAACATGTGCATCTCAAAAAGAACTATGTTACATTTCAAACTCTTAATTTCAGTTATCTCTTAGTGTTCACTTACCATATGAAGTAGAGGATGATCTTCTGAATATCTATGTCTGAAAAAATTAGCATTTCTTCCCCTACCGCCACGTCTGTGTCCTGTATATTATTTTGACAAAAATTATTTTCTGTATTTTCATCAGTGAATTCAGTATCTTTCAGAATCAGTTTTTAAATGCTAGGCCATCTTTTGGAAAACATTTAGTATTTCATCACTCATTGCTTGTTTCACTGAATGCTATACAACAGGGTTTGCACATTCTATCTATATTCACCATTTCAAAGGGGCAGTCTTAAGTTTATGCATTATGTAAGATTTGGTTGTATATGGTACTAAACTTGAGACTTAGCTAGAATTAATATAAAGGCTATGCCAACATAAAAATTATGTTAAAATGTGTTCACTGTTCCAAACAATGCTGTAAAGGTTAAAGAAGACATTCTTCACATTCAACCTCAGTCCCTTCACCCAGTTCACCCAGTTCACATTGCTTTCTCACAAAACGTCTTTGCTATAGTGGTTAGGTTATTGTTCATGCACTTAACATTCCTGTATTGTCTCACAGAAGTGGAGCAAACAGGCAAATTTAAAACAATTACCTCCATTGTTAATTTCTCACCCTGCTCTCCATTAGAAAAGCAGCTCTTATCAATTAAACATTTCTTTCATCTGAACTGGAATAAACTCTTACCAACCTTGTACAAGTCCGTGTCTGAAAAAAATGAAGCATGTAACACAATATAACGTTAGAAAAGTGCAAGTTCTAAAATCTGCATGTTCCTTTTTTTCATGTGTAGCGTTTAATATACTTTACCTCTCTCCTGTGAATGCCTAGGGATAACTGCTTGCCCGCTGGAGCTTTCTGACTGTATGTTATTCTCCATATTGCGTTCTTCCTCAGCATTAGCAGCTTCTTGCTGTATAATCTGTCTGATTTCATCTGTACCAGATATTACAGGAAAAATAAAGAAAATGAAAAGTCAAATGACAATAATGTCTTCTTAGCCAGAAATCTACATCATACTTCATTGTATTACAGAATATACAGAACTGTTAACCTTTAAAAACTCCTAACACTATATAGTAACAGGAATAATAATTTGTAATTGTAATAAATTTGGAAAACCATAGCAAGAGCAAATAATAAAAGGATTTTAAGGTTTCTTGTCTCTCTCACACACACACACACACACACACTAGCGTGCGTGCCAGAATAACATGTTAGATCTCTTCTTCTGGAGCTGGAGCTAGAGTTACAGGCAGGTGTGAAGAACCCAGTTTATATGTAGGAACTGAACTCTGGTCCTCTGAAAGAACAAACACTCCTACAAAACCAGTTAAACATTTTTTTTTCAAAAATGAATTCTTTGAGAATTTCATACGATCTACTTTGATCATATTCATCCTACTCCTCCCAGATCCACCTTACCCATTCAACTGTGAGTCCTCATAGTTTTAAAACTCATTAACTCCAATCTGTGTTGCTTATATATTCTTGGACATGCAGCTATCCACTTGAGTGTGGGTAACATGCTAGCACCATGCCTATGAAGAAAACTGACTCTCTCCAACCAAATAGCTATCAGTTGCCAAGAGAATTTGCCCAATTCTCCTCAACATGCCAGGAGCTCACTTGGTCTGAAGTACTGGGCATTCTGGCACTACTATTTCTCCAGCTCCATGAGAGTCAGCAAGTTATTTTAAAGTATTTATTAGTTTCCACACATATTTTAAATTCAAATAGGTGCTGTTCATTGATTTAGTCAATTGACATTGATCCTATGATAGGCATCCCTACAACACAGAAAACTTCAAGAAATGCCAAACAAATTCAGCAATATTTAGCAATTCTACAGGTTATAGCAGATTTTCTATACAGCAACAACAAACATACAGATAATAAAACTGTTGTATATATACATTATGGAATATAATTCAGCTGTGAAGAAAAATAAAATCATAGAAACATTTGAGGCAAATGGATGAAGGTAAAAGAGACCATTGTAAGTGAGGTAACTTAGACTCAGAAAGATAAATGTTTCACATTCTCTCTCTTCTGAGGTTCCTAGTACTAAATATTCAGATATGTATGTGTGTATGTGTGTATGTGTGTGTGTGTGTGTGTGTATCTCCTAGAGTAACTACAGAAACTAGGGAAGGTAAAAGTCACCCTTGCTGTGGTGGGAGTATGGGGGAGCGACAGAGGAGGCTACTAGTATATAAATGATCTGATCAGGGAAATTCAAGAGACTTCTACTTACTGAAAAGTGAATGAGATAAATACAGAAGGGGGAACAATAACAGTAAAGAAGTTTAGAAAAGGCACGAGGAAGTAACTTGAAACTAACTATGTAAACATTTAAAACACATACAATTCTCTAGATTAAATATACATAAAAAATTTAAGTGACAACTTTCTATCTCTGCTGAAAATGCTTCTTACAGGAGCCAAAGGCAACTTAACAAATTCACCAATTCCCACCAAGAGACACACCCTCCCTCTTTTTAGTTCTTTGTCAAGGTTGTTCAGGAGACTCCTAACACATTACAAGCCTTTTTTTTTGCCCCTGGCTGCCACTCAGACTGAATAAGTCCGTATTGGTGAAGAGATCATGTACATTAGACGCTGGGCCCAGAGACCTCTGAGCTAGAACTGACCTAGAAGCCTATTCCCTGAGGCCTAACACTCATGTACCATAAACATATGCAAGTTTTCAAAAGATGGAAGCAACTAGCAGGCCTACCCACTTATGATACCTAAAATGCACACCAATCAGCATCACATGGTAACACTAGGGTACAGTTTTTGCACCCATATCATGAGAATAACAGACAATTCTCCAATTGAACTTAAGACCCATTCAACAAATGGGAAATCATGGTTGGCATTTTAATCCTAGCCAATTATACCTAGGTCTAATGATGCCATGGATTGTGAAGAAGAATCTACAACTACTATATTACTTAACCAGAATAATCTCTAATTTCTTTTTAAATGTTTTTTTATACCCACCAGATAAGTACAGTCCATATCAAAAAAACTTCTCTTTGGGACAGATTGGGACAATTACAGAAAACTAGAAGTAATCCATGTCTTTGTGGACCCCAGTCTAATGTATTAATACAGCAATAAAACAAAGAGCCTACCTGAAATATTAAGCAACATCAGGGAAAAGAAGGATGAAAGATGTTAAGAGCCAGAGGAACAGTGAGTTTGCTGTCATATCTCCCTGGAATGCCAGAAGCAAAATTCATAAAGTCTCAACAACCTGTCTGCTTATACGAGACCTGAACAAGAGCATCGCCAATAGATATGCTAATGTGGACAGTAAACACTCAAGAAGACTACATAAAGAACTTTAGGCAACTGAAGAACACTGACAGAAAGATAAATTCTTTTCCCCAGGGACGAGCACACCAATTTGTTTATCACAAAGCAAATGAGTCAGCCCTAAAAACATGAACGTAGAAGAAATATTAAAAAGACTTCTCATGTTGTATTTATATTTTAGGAATACACATTAACACATATACATACATGTGATGGGGTAGAGAAAGAGGGAGAGTATGTGGCAACTATTCAATGAATAAAGAGGACAATATACTTGAAAACAGCAAAGAGGGGTAATATTGTGGAGAGCCGTGGTGGGCAGAGATGGCGCTGGCATCCGATGCTCTCCTAAGTTTCAAGATTTACTGCCTTTGTGCAAGGGAAATAGCGCGCCAAGTCACAGCCCATCCCGGGGCAGATATGCATTTATGGGCAAACAGCCAACCAGAAATGTACATGCCGCTCCAGGGGGTATAAAAACAGTGCCTTCTCGGGGCCCAGGGTCTTTCCTCTACATCGTAATAAAAGAACTGCAGAAGGACCTGGTGTCTGTGTGCATTCTTGCTGGTGAGATAAGTGCGTGCGGGCAACATTCTGGTGCCGAAAACCTGGGAGATTCACCATCACGGCGCCTGAGGAAGAACCCCTGCTTGCAGGGCAGGTTCAGAACTGCCGGGAAGGTAAGCTTTGAGAGGCAGTTTTGGCCTGGATTTTTCCCATCTCACTCCCAAATTAAAGGTGCAGCCCGATTATCATGGCAGGTCAGGGAGTGTTACAGGAATTACAGGACAAAATGTCAGAAACAGAGCTTGGCAAGCGCTTGGGGGCTCAGAAAGAAGAAGGAGCCCAGAAAGAACAAAAAGATAGGCATGCCTAAGAACACTGACCCTCCCAAAGACATTCAGTCCGAGGGGGTGAGAGATAAGGGAACATAAATTTCCCTGGGAGAGGGACGCAAAGACAAGGGAGGAGGGACCTCCCTGGGAGAGAAACGTAGAAAAGTAGAAGAGGCCTCAGAAAGAAAATCTCTTTATCCGGTAAAGAATATGAGAGAGAGAGAAAGGGTTTTAGAAAAACAGTTGTCCTCTCTCTGAGCTGTGTCAGCAAAAAGGAATGAAAAGGCTATTTCAGAGCTCATCTAGAAAAAGAAAGAAATTCGGGAGACATCCTGAATTTCTCTTTATTTAGCTCTTAGATGTCCTTCTTTGTTGTCTGTCTTTGGCGCGCCAATGTCCACGTGTGTCGATTGTTTGTTTTTTGTTTCACTGTCTAAATGTATGTTCTATGTTGCATGTTCAAAAGACAAAAACGGTTATATATAGCCCAAACTCTTGGGCTAGTTTAACGTTGTTTTAAAGGCAGTCTTATATACACAGCAGAGGCTGATAAGCTACCCTACACCTGTAGCTAAGAGTTAAGCTGAGCTGAAAAAGCCTTTCCAGGAATTGAGATTGGCATAAGCTGCTTTTAAAAGAGACCAGTAGCTTTTTGGGTTTTATGAGGAAGCTAAGAGTTGTTTTGTCCTAGAAAAAATCTCTGTGACAAGGTGCTTTTCTCTTGAAATTACAGCTAGAAAAGGCAACAAATTTTGTTTGGTCTAAATATATAAGATGCATAGCCACTTCATTGTTGTTTCTGATTGGTTTTAAAAGTATAAAAATGTTCTACATGTCTTGGCTATAGATTATTGGCTTAAATTATTTGGGTGTGAATAGAAATTTACAACTTTGGTAACAGAAAGTTGGCGTAAAACTAACTCAGAGTTATAGTCATTCAGAAACCAGATGTATAAAAAATAAGATTTTAAAACAATATCTCTTCAATGAGATATTAAAAGCTGCTTCATACACTCATATATAAGAATTGGCAACAAAACTTTGTAACATAAAGGTAATCTACTTGGTGTTGATTTTAGAAAAAATAGATTGTTTACATTGCTTCTGGTTTTGCTTCTCAAAATTAATTGTTATACTCTAATGTTACAAAAGAAACTCAAAATTATAGTTAAACTGCCAGTATTCCATTGGCTACAGTTGACAGTTCAATTGTGAGTTTAGAATTCTTTGACTCATCCATGTTTATGATTGAGAAGAGGATAGAGCAGAGTTGGCTAATTTGTCAGGAGGAGATTACTTCATTTGGAGCTCAGATTGGAATGATACTAGTAAAAATCATAGCGCCATGATGAATGCTCAGGCAGGCATGTAGATTGGTATCTTAACATGCTTCTAAGAGAAGGTCAATATAAAGGTAATGCTAGTCAGGTTGAACTGCCTACACAGCTCTCAGACCATACAAGCAAAGACAGACTTAGATACATTCGTCTTTGCGATGAAATTGCACCCTCATACAATCAGGGTCTGGCCATAGCTTACAGAGAACCGTAAAGATAAAAGATGTTTTAAATGTGGAAATTTAGATAGTTTTTAAAAATGACTGTCCCAGGAACAAAGGCTTGAACAACAGTCAGGTGACCAAGGTTACTTGACAGAAACTTGTCCTTGGTACAGGAAAAATAATCTTTGGGCCAGGCCTTAAGATATAGGCCAAGATTAAAAACATTTACATTTGAATCAAGACTTTGTACAGAGTGGGTACAACAGAAGCTTGTATTTCAGA